CTCCTCCTTCTTCTTCTTCTCTCTCTCTCTCTCTCTCTGTCTTTCTTTCTTGTACTGGGGATCTAACCAGGGACCTTTAACAATGAGCTACATCCTAGCCCTTATTATTTTTTTTAATATTTTGAGACCAATCCTTGATTGGTCATCCTGTCTCAGCCTCTTTAGTCACTGGGAATATAGCCCCTCCCTCCCCCACTTCACCTCCATCTCTTTCTCCCCACCCCCTCTCCCTCTCCCCTTCCCCCTCATATCTTTAATATTTGAGAACAACACTGTAAACTCTCAGGTTACTATGGCACAGAGAACTGAGTCCATATCTAATTTTTTTATTTTCTTTTTTGGCACTAGGAACACTTTACCATTGAGCTACTTCCCTAGCACTTTTTATTCTTCATTTTGAGACAGGATCTCATTAAATTGCTGAAGGTCTTGTTAAGTTATCAAGGCTGGACTTGAATTTGTGACCCTCTTCCCTCAGCCTCCCAAATTGCTGGGATTACAGGTGTGTACCACCGTGCCCAGCAGCCCCTGTCATATTTAAGAAGGAGTTTTAAGTGTAAATTCATTCTGAAATGTTTCTATAGTGGTTAGACACTAGGAATTCTTTTTTTTTTTTTTTTTTTTTTGAGAGAGAGAGAGAGAATTAATTTTTTTTAATATTTATTTTTTAGTTTTTGGCAGACACAACATCTTTGTATGTGGTGCTGAGGATCGAACCTGGGCAGCATGTATGCAAGGCGAACGTGCTATCGCTTGAGCCACATCCCCAGCCCAACATTAGGAATTCTTTATAGAACTTCTTTTGCTTTCCATCTTGTGGTGGCATACAGTGTACAAGGCTAAGGCTACATATTTCTAAGTTATTTTTTAGTATTAAGACTACCATAAAGATTTCAGATCCCAAATTTGTTTCTTGGAGACTATGGATTCAAAATGAGTTACTGGCAGAATATCTTATAAACCTCTTCTTTCTACCTGAATAAGTGTTGGCATTTTGATGGCCATTTTCATGTACTTTTACTGACTTTGGGGGCTTGATTTTGTTTTGTAGGGCTAATAACTAGTATTTATATAAGACAGAAGAAAAAGATGTCATTCCGTAAAGGTATGCTCTCTCTGCAAGTTATGTTGTTTTTTTATAACTTAGTCAAAGGTAAAAAAGATCTTAATACAGGTTTTTTCCATCTGTTTCAGTAAACATCGTTATTTTGGTCCTGGCTGTTGTTCTCTTCTTACTGGTTTTGCACCATAACTTCCTTGGACTGAGCAGTTTACTAAGGAATGAGGTTTCAGGTATGGGAAACCTTACAAATATCATGGAATTTGTTGAGGACCTGGAGTTTCTTGTATCTCACATCCTAATTTAGATAAGGAAATGAGAGCTTGCTTCTTGGCTTTAACAAAAACTAGGAAAGACTCGGAATAGGCCTAGTGGGTACTCATTGTGCTCTTATGGTGTCCTCCCATACTTTTCTTCTCCTTGTAGAGCAAGTTGTTAGCTAAGAATTTTATCTGACAAGAATATTCCTTTTCATTAAAACAGAGGCCTTAGAGGGGCCTCTCTGGACTGCCATCTGCTGACATTTCAGCAGGTCAGGGCTTCAGAAGATGTGAGCAGGCACATGACCCTGATATTTGATGCATGATTTGGTCACCAGGAGTGTCATTCTGGTTACTTTCCTTCACCTGTTACTTTAACTTGAGCAACCACATCAGTAGAACTCTAGTTATAAAATAGAAATCATAAAAGCTTATCAGCTAATTTTTTAAAAACCATTGCATAATTACAAGTTATTTTAAATTGCTTGCACTTTTCTACCTTGGTATTGAGGGATGTTTAAGGCTTCAGGGTATTAGTCAAAAATCATTTTTGTATTGCTTGCTACCCACTATAGTTGATTCAGAGGAAGACTATACTAACTTTCCCCTTTCACTGAGTACTTATAGCATATAGTTTTTTTGTATATGTTGTTTTGGTGGTTTTTTTTTTTTTTTTTTGGTGCTTGGGATTGAACCCATGGCCTTATTCAAACTAAGCACATGCCCTACCACTGTCCTGGTAAGCATGTTTTGTAATATGTATGTATATATTTATGTATAGTATATACAAATAAAAAGTAATACATGCTTCTGGTGGAAAAATTTTATTAAAAAAGCTTCATGAAGGCAATTTGTTCATTTCTTTATTTCCCATACCTAAGAATGATGATTGATCAAAGGAAGTGTCCAATAAATATTAGTTGAATGAGTGATTTAATTGCCTAGAGATAATTACTATAAACTTCCCATCTTTTTCTGTGTATATTTTTTCCTACAGAGTTGAGATTATACTAAATTGTACGTATGACATGTTTTTCCATGTGATTTTATCATAAGCATTTCACCATGGTGGCAGAAACTCTTTAATATTTCACTTGCATAGTTTACTTGTTTCCACAGGAAATTGTCTTCTTATAGTTACTTCCAGATGATGACCAAATGCATTACATGCAACACACACATATACTTATTATCTGTTACTCATTCTCCACAATGGTATGGATTTGTATGTTTTATTCATGGCTGTATCCCCAGTGCCTATGTATTGCCAATCACATAGTAGATACCCAGTATATGATGGAATAAATGAAGGAATATACAGTCATCCCTCTGTATCCATGGGGGACTGGTTCTAGGACTTCCCAGGACATCAAAACCTTTGGATATTCATATAAGATGGCATAGTACTTGCATATAATGTACACACATCCTATTGTATACTTTAAAGCATCTTTAGATTTAACTTTCTACAGTGTAAATGGTATGTAAATAGTTGTTATACTGTATATTTATGTAGTAACAACAAAAACAAGGCTCTTCTTCAGTATAGTAATTTTTTCCTCATATTTTTGATCTGTGGTTGGTTGAATTCACTGATATGGAACCAACTAGATATAAGGGACTAGTACAAAAAGGCAAGAAGGAAGGTTTACATCATACTTCTGGTTACTGGGAGTTATGCGTTCTGTTTTCTAATTCAATTTTCTACTCCAATCTAGAAGCTTTTTCTATTCAAATTCTAATCGGGGTTGCAGATGTAAGTCAGTGGGAAAGCACTTTCCTATCATGGGCAAGGCCTTGCACTCTATCCCCAGCATCACAGAAAACATTCGGATGGATGCTGTCTCATTAAATTTTGATTTCATGGCTACTTAAATGATTTGTAGTTTGAAAAACATTTATGGTTTATTTCTAGGTTTTCACAACTATGAATAAAATTGTGACTTTCGTGTGTGTGTGTGTGTGTGTGTGTGTGTGGTGCTGGGGAATCAAACCTAGAGCCTTGTATATGCTAGGCACCAACCTATATCCCAACTGAAATTGTGACTTTTGATTACTTTTCAGATTTTGTCCTTAAGAGTGGTGGCAAGGGAAATGATTAGGTCAAAAGCCATGTACTTCTTTAAGGCTCTTGAGCCAAATCACTACAATACATTCTAGAAAGGTGCTGCTACTTTCTTACTAATAGTCTATCAGTGTTGTCAGCCTGATTTTTAAAATCTTCCACTTTTGCAAAAGCTTGGTTATATACAGGAAAACAATTTCTGGGTTGTATACTTCAAAGTTTAATGGGAGAGAATAAGGTAAATTGGTACCATAATATCACCTTACTTCTTTCCTTGTCTTGGACTCTGTATCAGAAGTTTATAAGATTGTGTTTGTATCACAGTGCCTTCCTGTATGTTTTTTTTTCAGATTCAGGAATTCTGGGGCTTCAGCCCATAGATTTTGTTCCAAATGCTCCCCGACAAGCAGTTGAGAGGAGACAAGAGGAGATTCCTGTGGTCATTGCAGCATCTGAAGACAGGCTCGGGGGAGCCATTGCAGCTATGAACAGTATTCAGCACAATACTCGCTCCAGTGTGATTTTCTACATTGTTACCCTCAATGATACAGCAGACCATCTCCGGTGAGCTCTGCTTACCTAATGATTCTGCCTCTAGTGGTGCTCTAGAGTAGACCAGCTGCCAATCCAGGACTGTTTTAATATATAAACATGTATATACACACATGTATGTATACATATGTGGTATATATTTATACAGTTTGGGTTATACACTATAAACTATGGTACATTTTTCCATGTGATTGTATCAAAAGCATTATGTCCCTGGTAGCAGAAATGATAGAGCTATGCCAGGAAGTAAATGAACTATGCACACTGTTAGCTCCAGTTATTATTTTTTTGGTAATACAGCTTTCTCAAAGAAAGAAGCAGTGTTATTTACTGCTTCTTAATCATAAATTCCGTATCTCATAGATATGCTCTGAGTATTTTTAGAGTAGGAAGACACTTGGGAACAATGGCAGGATGGTAGGATGAAGCTGTGAGCAGACTCTGACCTAAATCTTAGTCCAGGGTGGCTATTTTCTCATCTGTAATTTTGGAATGAAAACATCAAACTCAGTATATGGTATGTCAAGCACTAGCACATAGTAATTGCTCAGTAAATTGTCATTAACTATTTTAATTGCTCTGATTATTATTCCAAGAAACAGCTTAACATTTGTCAAAGTTCTAAGACATTTTTGTCCTTGTGGCTTTCTTCATGGTTCATATTTAATGAAAAGTTATGATTTTCTCATATTTGAAAAACTCAGAATCCAACTAAGATATAGAATACTGCATTAAAATAGACTACAGAAATAACAGTGTCTTCAGAATGTTGATTAGGAGTAGACTAGAAAACAATGTGCATTACTTCTTCAGGAAACACTGGCTTTTCTTAAATTACTTGACTTGGGTAGATATATTACTTAGGATCATTACAGTGAATTAATAGTCATTCTATAGATAAAGACTACTAGCTTTCTATATAATTAGCTTTCACCCCATTACACTTTGGCTTATTTTCTTCAGTGTACTTGGAAGTTTAAGAATTAAATGGTTCATGYGGTGATAGGATTTTCTCAATTCTATCATTTTTCTATAGTAGTTTTTGTTGCAAGGGAATTTCCATATCTTGGTTCAGGGAGGGATTTTAGTGGGAATAGACCTTATTTCAGATGATGAAACCAAGTTTCAAAGGAGCTTGAAAACACCCATTTAGTCCTTAGGATCTCTCTCAATAATATTATGTTCTCAGGCTAAGGTTATGGCTCAGTGGTAGAGAGCTTGCCTAGCATGAATGAGACACTGGGTTCATCTTCAGCACCACATAAAAACAAAATGTGTCTACCTAAAGATACATAAATAAATATTTTAAAAAACATTATGTTCTCATTAGGAAAGCAAAGGTAAGGCTTTGTTTGGAAACATCAATATTTAACTTAAATGGTTTCTTGTTTGTTTTTAAATCAGGTCCTGGCTGAAAAGTGGTTCCCTAAAAAACATCAGGTACAAAATTGTGAATTTTGACACTAAACTTTTGGAAGGGAAAGTAAAGGAGGATCCTGACCAGGGGGAGTCCATGAAACCAGTGAGTTCCATGCATCCTTGTTTATACTTGGGAGGATCAGGAAATCATTAGAATTCCTGGATAACTATGGGTTCAGTGCAAGTTTTGCCCAGGGGACCAAATTTGGACAGTTCTAAGAGTCCTTTGGCTAACTTCTGCCAAGGGTTCTAAGAACCTTTATAATAAAAGCAGAAGCCAGGTGTGATGGCAGATACCTGTAATCCCAGCGATTCGGGAGGCCAAGGCAGCCCTGTCTCAAAAGGGCTGAGGATGTAGCTCAGTGGTAGAATGCCCCTGGTTTCCATCTATAGTATCCTCCCTCCCCCCAAAAAAAAGAAGCAAGGCATAGGCACTACCCTATGCCAACACTTCTTTCCTTTTTCAGCTAACCTTTGCAAGGTTCTACTTGCCAATTTTCATTCCCAGTGCAAAGAAGGCCATTTACATGGATGATGATGTAATTGTGCAAGGTACCAAATAATGTTACCATGAGAGCTCTTCTCCAGATTGTGGGCTGTAGTGTTTGTCTTATTCATGGTCTTTTGGGGCTAGGGCTGGGACTCAGTAATAAAGCACTTGCCTAGAATGTGTGGGGTACTGGGTTTGATACTCAGCACTACATCATAAAGGTATTGTGTCCATCTACAATTAAACAATGTATATTATTTATGTTTTTTTTTTTTAATAAAAGGTCACCATAGGGGGAAGTGGAAGAGGGAATCCCAAGGCAACCAGAAATGTTAATCTTAACACCATATCCATTTCAGGTGATATTCTTGCCCTGTACAATACACCACTGAAACCAGGACACGCAGCTGCATTCTCAGAAGATTGTGATTCAACCTCTACTAAAGTTGTCATCCGTGGAGCAGGGAACCAAGTAAATCCTCCCCCTGCCCCATAAAGGTTTAAAAAAGAAGGAGCTCATCCTTTTCCATTGTTTACATTCCCCAATTATTTCAACCCCAACTCAAGCGTTCTTTTCTAGATTTATAGACCTGATAACACAATTTTCTTTGAATATCTGGTGAAATATCAGTATCTAGATCCCATTGCCTTAGAACCTCAACCTTATTTTTATTGGCTAATTATCTTAGAAGTCTTAGTTTAACAAGCTGTATGTATTCCATTTGTTTTTAGTACAATTACATTGGCTATCTTGACTATAAAAAGGAAAGAATCCGTAAACTTTCCATGAAAGCCAGTACCTGCTCATTTAATCCTGGAGTTTTCGTTGCAAACCTGACAGAATGGAAACGACAGAATATAACCAACCAGTTAGAAAAATGGATGAAACTCAATGTTGAGTAAGTATATAATTGACCTAGTCAAAAACTTATTTCAACCCTGAGAATCTTGAGTAACAGAAGTTGGTCAGTATTTCACTGACATTTGTTATTTTTCCCACCAAGAGAGGGACTGTACAGCAGAACACTGGCTGGCAGCATCACAACACCACCTTTGCTTATTGTATTCTACCAGCAGCATTCCACCATTGATCCTATGTGGAATGTCCGTCATCTTGGTAAGTAAGTAATTAACCAACTCCTAAGCTAATAAAGGATTAAGTGTCCAAGGAAGGAACCACCTTCAAGAATTGGACTTAACACTGTTGTTTGGCATGGCATTGCCTTGTGTTTGACAGGTATAATCATTTGACTCTTTCTCTTAAGGTTCCAGTGCTGGAAAACGGTATTCACCTCAGTTTGTAAAGGCTGCCAAGTTACTCCATTGGAATGGACACTTTAAACCATGGGGAAGAACTGCTTCATATACTGATGTTTGGGAAAAATGGTATATTCCAGACCCAACAGGCAAATTCAGCCTAATCCGAAGACATATGGAGATCGCAAACATAAAGTAAACTAGAATTTAAAACTATAAGCATTTCTCAGGAAATCCTTGAAAGTAACAGTGTGGGAAGTAACAGTTGGTAGGCCTCAATTCCTATTTGTTGCAACCCATGGAAAAAGAGATGTTTCAGCTCAGTAAAGATGACAAATTGCCCTGTCTGGTAGTCAGTTCCCAGATAGACTATAAATATGTCTCCATCTGTCTTACCAACTGTTTGCTTACTACAGTGCTGACTGGCCAGAAGAAAGAACTGATAAGACTGATATAACCAGTTCAGCTAGCTCGGATGGTTAGCTCAAAACTGCTGCCTGGTTTTAATTTTGTAAACCTGTGGCCCAATCTGTAAATAAACCTACATTTTTCAGTAGACTTCTCTGCTTTCAGATAAATACTTCTATCCCTTCACTGTTTGAGAGGAGTTTAATGTAGATTTTTAAAATATATATATTTTTTAGTCATTGATGGTCCTTTATTGTTTATATGCAATGTTGAGAATCAAATCCAGTGTGTCACATATGCTAGGCAAGTGCTCTACCACTGTATATATTTTTAAAAACTGTTATTTGTATTAATGTATACATCATAACACATATTCACAAAATTTACACTTTGTCATGGCAAAACTGGCACATTATACACATGCTAGGAGCCACAGCAAAAATATTGATACAGGTACCTTTGGTTTAGGTGACTGCCAGCTAGCCATTGAGATTATGATTATGTTAAGTTTTACATTCATATGAAAATTGGACTCCTGCTGTTTACCTCGGCCTGTCTCAGGTTACTCATGTCACTCTTGTAATGGGAGAGTTCCCATTGGTTGGGGAAGGATAGTAGGAGGGAATTTCCGGGGGATGTGCGCGCGCCCGGTTCCGGTGGCACGTGGGTCAATGGGCTGGCTAGCAAGACGCACAGGGATCGCTGGCGGCTTTTTTAAAATAAAGCTTTGCTTCCCACTTGAGCGGTTCATGTTTCTGTGTCTAGCCAGGTTGCGGCATACACAGAACATTCTGATAGTTTGCTTAAGATGTTAAGGAAATCCTTATAAAAGGACAAGTTTCTGTTACACATAATCTGTGCTGAAATCATAAGCATCATCTTCTTGAGTCATTTTATCCAAGTTTAAAGAGCTTGCAGATTCACCTGAAATGGAGAAAAATAAAGTGAGGTTTACAAAGCAATTCTATGCTTAAGCTGCTTTGTTAGAAGTCCTTAGCCTCAAGCTCACCTGCTGTAGATTCTTCAGGTGGTGGTGGCTCTCTTTTCTCTTCTATAGGAGGCATGTCTGAGATCTTTTCCTATGGGATAAAGAAATGAATGTACACTTGTTACAATACCAGAAAACTCACTAGACTCACTTTGACTCAGAGAGAGAATACATTTACATCAGCTTCTTCACAGTCAACAATCTCTTCCTCACTGACCATGTCTTCATTGTCCTTCCCCTCCTCCTGTTTTCTTTCTCTCTGTCTTGGTAATTCTTCAGGTATGTCCTTTTCCTCTATTACTCCATTTGTCAGACCCGAAGACTGGAAAAGTATGCTCTTGGCTAAACGAGGGCCCCTGATGGCTAGTAAAGGAAAAAAAAAAAAGACCATATAAACAGATATAACCTAATAAAGGTCTTTTAAGCAGATGAAAATAAGCAGTGAAACAAAAGTCTCTCTCACCTTCTATGCTATGTGCATTGCTCTTTTCCAGTTCCTCAAGATTTAAGCCCCTTTTCATGCCTGCCACAATACTTTCATTAAAATGTGGAGGAGTCCAGGAAGTTGGGGGATGACAATAGTAACTTAATGAGGCACTGAAATTAAAAATAAGATCTATCAAAAAAACAGTTACTGCCAGGTGAATCTAGTGGCTTAGGAGGCTGAGGCAGGAAGATTCCAAGTTCAAAGTCAGCTTCAGCAACTTAGCAAAGCCCTAAACAACTTTGGCAAGACTCTGTCTCAAAAAAACAAAACAAAAACAAAACACAGAACAAAAGGGCTGGGGATGTGGCTAAGTGCTCCTGGGTTCAATTACTGGTACCCCCCCCACACACACACACCCACACAAACGTGCTGGGGATGGATGTGGCTCAGCAATGGAGAGCTCCTGGGTTCGATCCCTAGTACTCAAACAATGCCAATAGAATCCTTACCCTGTCCACTCAGACCACAGTAGTTTGGCAGCACGTTCAACATTTGGGCTTCCACCTTTTTGGTGCAGACCTCTCCTCTGAGCAAGTTTAGTAAACAATTCCAGAGAATTCTTATAGTCTGGGACAGTATAATGCAGTACAACCTTAAAGCAAAATAGGAAATTTCATCTGACTAATTGAGTAAATGAAAAAAAAAATATCTATTTAAAATGCTTATACTACAAAATGGTGGTGAGGAGCTCAATAGAAGGGGAAGGAGTTCTTTACCTGTCGAGCATCAGCCTGGGACAGGATGGCACTGGCAGCCTCCATTGGTTTTACTGTTTCAATACTTGCTGGACTCCGCAGAGCAAGTGCAGTTAAGGAGTTAAGTGGTGACACAATCAAACTTGGACTATCTATGATTGTGATCTGTTTGTCTAAGGGAACAATCTGCATATTCCTGAAAGAAAAGAAATAGAATCACCAGGGGCACAGGTTATATCTGGAGGGCAACAGAGAACACGAAGCTCAGGGTTGGATTGAACAAACTCAACACAGTGAGTCAGATCCAATTTATCATCATTTGCTTCGTGTTTACCTGAAAGCCTAACATTGTATTCATTTTTTTTTAGAGAAAAGCACTACATGTTGTAGTTCACATACCTACCTAAACACATGACTCTTTCCTCTACCCTAAATACTGTCATTTTTTTCTACCTGGCAACCTGTCTCATTTCCCAAAGCCAGGTGCAAACATCACTTTCTCCGAGGCGGCTCTTTTCTCTCTCAAATTAGTTGCTTAATTTGTCTTTAAAACTATATTGCAGGCAGCCACCCCACTCCAATCAATTCTTCCCCAAGCACACCGCTGGTTCCACCCTCTTTACTGAAAGTTTTAAAGAACAGGAAATTACCATCCTCGGGATAATAAAATAAAATCATATTTACTCATCTATAAGAAAAATTCTTTGTTATAGAACACCATAATTTACCTTGTAAGACCCATGGAAACACCAACATTACATATCCGCTCTTTTTTTAAGCTGTTAATGATGCTGCTCTTGCCTACATTTGGGAAACCTACAAATAAATAATTCACAGATATAAAACACAGTATGGACTGATCATTATGAAATTTCCTCTGCACAATTTTATGTTTGCCCGATGTTTAGAGCAAGAGTTGGATCTGAGTGTCTTCGCAACACTAGGACCAATAATTAGCTCCTTCATTCCTTACAGAAGTAATAAGAGGGCAGGAAAATACTATTAATGCAAATAAAGGAGGAGTATGCCTGTAGGTATTCATTTGCAGTGCTAAGGATAGAACACAAGGCCTTGCACATGAAAAACAAATGCTCTTACCACTGAGCTACATCCATATCTACCATGAGCCAACTTGCTACAGTGAACTGAACTTAGGAGCAATTATGTAAGTTTTTCTCTAAATCTTTTGTGTGGTGGTAAATGGGGCAAGAGCTAATTTTTGAGCAAACTATTTCATAACCTTGTTCTCACTTAATATCAGCTAAGTAGATCTTGAAATTTGATTGAACTCAGGGGCACTAGACCACCGAGCCACACCCCCTGCCCTATTTTGTATTTTACTTAGAAACAGAGTTTCACTGATTTGCTTAGCACCTTGCTAAATTCCTGAGACTGGCTTTGAACTCTCCTATCTTTCTGAGCTGCTGAGGATTACAGGCATATTGACCTACTAAGTAGTTCTTGACTCAAGAAAAAAGGTAGAATGTGGTGAATTAAAACTCACCAATTACTCCAACGTGAATAGCTCTGCCGTAAGTCTCCTGAAAACCTCCAAGAAGTTTCAAGAGGCATTCTTTGCCAAAGCACACTTTATGTTTGAGTGGAACAGCTTTCTTCTTCATCTTGGTTATCTTCCCTTTGTCCTTCAGGTATGTTGAGGCTTTAAACACCACTGTTGGCAATTCTTTCTTCAAATAATTTAGCCAGCTCTCCAAATTCTCCCTTGGTATTAGATCTGATAGGAATTACAAATATGACATATACTTCAATTTAAATTTCACTACTGTTTGCCTTTTTTCAAAAGGATTTAAATGGAAAATGAGGGAAGGGCAAGCTGCTCCCATCCTAATATCTACACTTCTGTATTTCAGTTCCTCCTGTATAGCTCAAACTTCCAGAACTGAAGTCAACCTCTACATTATACCCTAAAGKTATTTCCAGGATTTACCCTCAATTAATTTAACAACCTGGGTTTCTAACCTTAACAGTGATTATTCTTACTTTATGTTTCAAAGAGTCTCTGTTCTGGTTTCTACTCTCTGGTTTCACCCTTCCACTGCTCAAACCTAGACAATCTTTCATTTAAATATTTGTCACATACATTTCACTTGCTTTGAGCTAATACTCAATATTGTGCAGGTGGTAGGAATTTTGAACACTGTCATCACATTTTGAAGGGGAAAACCAGGGATTAAGGGGCGCTTAACCACTGGGCCACATCCCCAGCCTTTTGTATTTTATTTAGAGACAAGGTCTCACTGAGTTGCTAAGTCTGGCTTTGAACTCATGATCCTCCTGCCATAGCCTCCCAAGTCACTGGGATTACAGGCATGCACCACTGCACCCAAATCTCAACAGTTCTTTACATGAAAGTACCAAATAGCAAAAGAATAGGAAAAAACAGTCCTATCACTTGTAGAAACAACCTACTTCCCACCACCCAGCGCTATCTTTGGCAACTACAGTGCACGTGCTCTGGCTTTGTTGAGGTCAGAGTTGGATCTTATCAGTCTTCAGTGACAATCAAGACTGTTCAGATGTTTTCCTCATACCTCACTCGTGCAGGTTGAAAAAAAAAAAAAAGACCAAAGACATCCCTTTTCCTCACCTGATTTATTTAATACAAGTACCAGCTTTTTATGTCCACTCTGGACAATAGCATCTTCTACCTGAGGACACCTACAACCAAGAGGATCTCTGGCGTCCAACACTTCTAGCAAAACATCTGAGGCTTCAATCACCTGTCAAGGAATAAATAATCATAATGCACTCCTTGTTTTGGGAATATCTTTATCATGAGTCTACTGGGATTATCTACTTGGCAACAAGGTAAGCTTAGAGTTGGAGCTCATGTCTTCACTTTAGAATGGAGAACATTGAAATGTTTATCATTTCTCATATAGCTTGCTCAGCAGCCTCTGAACAGCATGGGTTTTAAAGTGTAACTACCCCCATCTTCTGAATATGTCACCACCCTCATTGAATTATGTAGTCTGATAGGCCCTTTTAGCCTTGGGAACAACTACACCAAGAATATACCACCCTGTTGATCTTGGAGTTACCTTTACAAGGCTGGTGCCAGGAGTCTTAATTTTTTGAATCAATACCAATTTTTGACACTGACCTAGACTAAGGTACCTTTTTAAGTTCCTGACAATATAACTTCTTTGGGTGCTGTTTGCTCAACTTGGCTTTCTTACTTTTGCATTGTTCCAATTCCTAGAGAATATAATAAGGATGAAAGGACACAAAATTAGATATATGGCAATTGTAACCTGTATTTTCCACGATTAGGATCAGTGTAGTTGACTTTTTTTTCAGTATTTATTTTTGATTGTACATGATACCTTTATTTTGGTTATTTATTCTTATGTGGTACTGAGGATCGAACCCAGGGCCTCGCACATGCTAGGCGAGCGCTCTACCGCTGAGCCATTACCTCTGATTTTTAAAAAATATTTATTTTTTAGTTGAAAGTGAACACAATACCTTTATTTTTTATATTCATGTGGTGCTGAGGATCGAACCTCATGCATGCTAGGCAAGCACTCCTCCTCTGAGGTACAACCTGAGCCCCAATTTTTAAAATACTGAAAATTGTCTGAACTCAAGTTATCTTCCTCCCAAAAGGTCCACCAACCTATATATATGCAACTCATTTCTTTTCTTTTTTTCCGTTGTAGAGTGAACCTTTATTTTATTTTTTAATGTGGTACTGAGGATAGAACCCAGTACCTCACACATGCTAGGCAAGTGCTCTACCACTGAGCTATAACCCCAGCCCGTCATTTCTTATTTTTTAAAAAGATGTAATCCTACCTCCACAGGTTCCACATCAGATGGCTCACCAACAGGATTAGTTTCAAGTTTTCTTTTCTTTTCTTGTTCCTTCTGCCTATCAAGTTTCTGCTGTTGTTTTAGTTCTTCCAGCTGTGTCCAAGAGAAATGAGAAACAAGTGAGACAGTGATGATTAATGTTGTTAACTTATTTTAGAACACTTCTTTATTTTGGAAGTGTTTTGGTTAACATAACTTACCTGCTGTTTCCTTAGCTCAGCTTCCCTAAGAAGAGCTTCCTTAAAAGGAGCACTATTTGGAACTCCTGGGTCTTTCCTAGGCTTTTTGTGACCCCGTTTTTTAGCTTCCCTTCTCAATTTCCGATGATGCTCCCGAACCTATTATGAAAAAAAAAAATTCCATTTAATAAAAAAAAAAAAAATCTTTCTACTTGAACAGAATTTAAGTGAAAAACTAGACTGGCTGCAGTTCAGTTAATCCTTTAAAAATGTCCTAAAGAAATGGTTTAATTGGAATCATATAAACAACAAATATATGTTTAAAACAGCAAGAAAATGTCACTAGTACACCTGTCCCAAGAAAAACACTTCTTACCTTTTTTTGGATTTTATACCGCTTATGACAAGTCATGCGTTTACTTGCTTTCTTCAACTCTACAAAAAATAACAAAAAGTTTTAAAATGAAATAGCCACAAATGATCAGTATATTTAGTTTTTGTTGAGTAGACTATGCTGGCATGTCTTTTTTTCTGTTAAGACGTTAGTTATACCTACATTTAATAATTATGTGGCGTACATGCCATTTTCAAATCCCACTGAATGGATTCAATAGATCAGAAATGGAGCCATTCCCCGCACCTACTCTTCCGACATTAGAATGAGGTCACACACAGGAACGTGAGACCCTGAAGGGCAGCCACTTCGGATCAAGCACCACCAATCACAGGCAGGAGGAACAGCGCGTTTGGAAGGCGGCTCTCCACTCTTAGCCGCAGAAGGGAAAACACTGGTCTGGACTTCTCCACCCTTCGGGCCAAGCCTTCCTTGTGGACAGTGGGTTCACGGTTAACAGGATCGACTGGGGCCTTGCAACCCTCATTCTACGAGGGAACGCGGGAACAGGGCCTCCACAGTCCACCCCCCACCTCCGCAGAGACCAAGTCATAAAAGAACGCCCTGGAGAGTTCTGCGATCGCCAGAGGTAGGGGCCTCTTCACCCCCTTCTGGAGACCCCACTCACTCGGCCGCTTCATGGTGTAGCCGGTCAAAACAGCAGCCGCCACAGAGATACCAGAAAACGACGTAACTCCGCGAGCGCCACGTGCTAACTGAGGCCACGGCTGAACGTCACGCACTCACGCTACTGCCGTAAAGTGCGACGCCGTTCTTTCGCGTGCGCGCGCACGCAGTGTCGCGCAGAATTGGGTTCGTCTGGCGGCCGCGGGCTAGTTTTACGGCAGCGCTGGGAGGGGTGAGGGCAGTGAGGGCGGCGGGTGCCGGAGACGGCAGCGGCCGCGGCCGAAGGAGCAATAGCAGCAGCCGTGGCGGCCACGGGGCGGGGCGCGGCGGTCGGCGACCGCGGCCGGGGCTGCAGGCGGCGGAGCGGCTGGGTAAGGCCGGGCCTGGGACGGGCGGGGCCGTTTCCCCTCGGCCAGCCGCCGGGCCTTTGTGTGGGCCCGGGCGGGCGGGAGCCGCGGTGGAGGCCCCGCCCCGGCCGTAGAGACGCGCTGGTCGGGCCGGGCGCGGGCGGGGCGGGGCGGGGCGCGGCAGCGGGCCTMCGGACGGGCCCAGGAGCCTTGCCGCACCTGCCGGCCGGGACAAAGGCGCGCCACTGCCTGGAAATTCCCCGCGCCCCTCTTTCCCGCTCGTCGCCAGGCAGCTTCATAGCTGTCAACGTTTCCCTTAGTCCCCGGTACGAGTGACAGGTTGGGAAAGTCCTTCATTTTCTCCGCCTTTCAGGGCCTTCTTTTTTTTGTTGTGTCTTGACGGTTCGACACAAACTCTTCTAATGACTTTTCTTGTCGTATAATTGTTCAAAACCGTGTACTTTTATTAGTGGGACTTATTTTTATAGTAAGGCCAGATATTTGAGCTTCTCATCTGCAACACCAAAAAGAATCGAGGTTTTGTAAACTATTTGCTGGTTTTAAAATATTTTTTCATCTTAGAGTTTTCTTTACTTTCTGAAAGGGAAGCATAGTCTTTTATTATAAAAAATAACATTGGCTTTACAAATGAGGAATACATACTAGAGTGGATGTAGAAATTCTCAACTATAAAAGCATATGTTGGGGCAAAACATTTTAATCCAGACTCCTCAAAAAAAAAATTCTAGATATTTTTTATTTTATTTAGTTGTAATCTTTTTCTGAAATATGATTTGGAAGTAAATTGGATTCAAGATAGAGGAGTATAATTTTTGCTTTAGTAATTGTTTACACATGGACCATATTTTGAGTTTAAGAGAAAATGGAAGATTGGAAAGAATCTTTTTAAGAAGTGTTTTAGAACTTCTTAAAACAGTTACAAATATGTGTGTGGATGAATGGAAGGGCCTTCACCACTTTCTTTGGCTTTAGGAGTATATACCACAAATAAGAATACTTTTCCAAAGTCTGCAAGGTAAACAAATTGTAGTTTGTTTATACAATAGCTGTGATCAAGCCATCAAATATCACAAAGAAGAATGTTGACTTTGAAGAATCTATTCTAAGTTAATACACAGGCTACAAAATAACTTATATGGTTTGTTAACACTTGTGGGKTTTTTTGTTTTTTTTTTTTTAAAGGTTACTAAGGCATAGATAAATACAAAAAGCTCTGAATGCCAATAGAAGGGTGGTTTTTCTCTGAGTAGAAGAATTGAAGGTGTTTGGTGTTTTTACCTGAGTATTTTGTTTTTCAAGATTTTGTTTTAGGCATGTATTACAGTACTAAATATCACTAGAAGCACAGAAGAATACTGAAAGTCTTATAAACTATCAAATATACTTTTTGATTATACTGAGTTAATATTTTCCCAGGTGTGTGTAATAGTCTTTACTGCCCACTATAAATTATCATTGGTACTAAAACTTTTGGACTTGTGTCTTAAACAAGGCCATCTTAAAACCTGAAATTAACTTCAAAATCTCTTTCTTTCCTGTTCATGAAAAAATAATTTCTGAAGGGATGGTTACAGACCTTTTTAAACTATTCAAATAAACTTTAATTTTAAAGGTCCTGCTTAAGCCCCACTTTAAATACCTTTATTAAAAAGGTACATTGAGCATCCAGCCTGTACCCAATGCTATTCTCCAGAACAGGATTACAAAAATAAAGGAGACCCTGCTCTTGTGCCTGCAGACTATGTAATCCTAAAGTTAAGCTTTGAAGTGTCAAGGTGATTTCATGTATATATGGTCTTAATAATTCATATATGTACATATATATATATATATACACACACATATATATTTTACTGTTCTCACATGAGGAGTGAAGAAACAGATCTGAGAGGTTCTGACTCAGGCAATATCAAACATAATTAGAGGTGGAAGATCTGAGACACCTAATCTTCCAGCATAGGTCCTGTTACTTTTCCCACCTTAGAACATTGCCTTTGTTACCAAACTTCCAAATTACTCTTTGGATTAAAAAAAGTTTTTAAATTATCTTTCACTTGCATCATTTTCTTATCTTACCAAATAATGATTCCAGGATTTTGGGATATTGCATTATCTAAACTACATACACTGGTAATTACTTTTTTTTTTTTTTTTTTTTTGGTCATTTGATCTCGATAATTTATAAAAGTAATTGTGAACTATCAAAATAGCTGAAGACTAAATTCATGTGATGTCTTTCCAATACAGATAGGACTTTCAGGAAAAATTTGTCTTTCTCTGAATTTTGGGACAGTGGGGCATTTTTCTAGATTCTGCTCACATGAGCCATTCTCGGTCTGTTCCAGCTTACCAACACTTGGTGTCACATGTGAGCCTCCCACATGTGTTCATTCTCCATTCCAGCTCTGTAATTGAACTCTGCTCTTATTGACTAGGGGGCAGTTGGGCAGGCATGCTTCATTCCTGGAATTGACTGTCGTTCCATGTGAGTAAAGGGGAGTCTCAGTGAGACATCTTTCAGCATATGAAAGCATTTGGTTTTAAGATGGAAGATATGTCAGGTACTGTTGGTGCTTGAGCCTTTGCAGCAGTTTGATAGGTGTCAGACAACTGATATGCCTGTTCTCTCTATCTTTCTATAGCAGTTCTATTTGAATGTTTTCTATGTACTTATTTTTACTTTTTCTGACCCTTCTTTTCTATTTCCCCTTTCTCTGCCTTATTCTTTTTCAGTTTTGAATATACTAACATTGAATCAGCACTTCTAAAGCCCTGCCTTCTCTCACTGGCTTCAGTTGGCCTTCAGACATAATGAGGAGACTGGCTTTTCGAGGCGCTGGTTGTGCTCTGGTAAAGCTGGTAAATTACTGATCATCTAAACCCTTTTCCTTTTGTTCCTTGCCTTTTCCCTTCCACCTTTCTTAAATTCTTTCCAAAAAAAGTCCCTCCTGTGTTCATGAAGTTCACCTGTGTCCTTGTCATAGCTTATTTACAAAGGATTGGTTCTTAATTTTTTCAACTTAAAAGAATTGAGGCCAGTTTATCAGCCTTTTATAAAATGAACAAAAATCAAACACAACTTGATTTTTCTTGTCCTAAGCTTTTGGGAGGTTTAGCCACTTTTAGCCAACTTCAAACTGATATCCCATATAATAGACAAAAGCCTAGAGGAAGGAATATCATCACAGTAGGTTCTGTTTTAAATACCAGGAGAACTTCTTTAGAGGAAGAAATGAGACTCTATTTGTCTCTGTTGCTTACCAGGATTTTTTGTTTTACTATATTTTCTATTTCTGGAAGATCCCAGGCTTCTCTCTCCATACTACTGGCAGCCAGTGCTCTGTGGTTCCTATTCATTCATGGTTTCCTGAAATGGAAGGTTAATGAGTAAAACTGGGATCTTTTTTTCTTTTAGCTTTAGTAAAAGACTTTTGAAATCATAATGTGCTGTTTGATACTGTTGCTAAATTGTATAAGCATTGTAGAACTTTCTTGGATGGATAACCTTTCCGTTTTTCTATATCAGATCATTTTAATGGTTGTATTTCTTATGTTATAGTCAAATTAACATATTTGTAAGGTTGTGTTAAGATTAGTTTCTTAGCAGTTGGTCAGAAACTGAGAGCAAATATTTATGTGTTTCTGAACCTTCAAGCAGGATTTAAAAGCTCATGTATGAGGTGCTTTTCCAGATAATTTAATGAGAGTAAAGCTTTGATTTCAAATTTTGAGGTTTAGAATATGTCATATAATTGAAAGGGAGGTTAGTCTGGATTACTAGAAGAGTTTCACAGCACAGTTTTGCTACTTCAGGAATGACAAGTCACGTTAACGGCATTAGCAGGGGTATATCTTGTGGGTCCTGCTGTAACAAATGGGAAAAATTCATTTTCTGGGTTATTAATTTCTGAATACATCTGAAATGCTTGAAAGATAATTGTCTTCTCTCCCTTACTTTCTCCCCCTGCGTTTTTTATACAATTCATTTGCCTTAGGCACTACTTTCTAGTCTTCTCCACATTGTGGCCCACTTGGAGAATAATCATAAGTAGCCTCCAGCAGGAATGACATTGGGGCCTCTGTACCCCAGATTTACCCAGCTGCCCCAGAGGCTCAGGGATCAATACCTCTAGTACACTGTTGTACCTATATGTGGTGGATTGGAAAATGCCAGTCCAGAGTAAATCTGGGGCCAGAAGTGGTTGAGTCATTCAGAATGGGTGATATACAAATGAGTATACTTCTGTTGAATTTTTTCATCAAAGTTTAAAGTGTAGCATTCTGGTAAGTATAAAGAGGCTGAAACGGTGAAGTCCAGGACTTGAATTAAAAAAAATGAAAAAGAGCTTATAGCTAATTAAACTCCTTTGCAACAGTTAAAATATCCTTTTAGATGAAGCAGTAATTTGATAGTAGGCAGCCAGTTGAGGGGCTTGTCGGCAAAGTCAAAATTTAAATGTAAGAACATGGAAATTATTTCTTACAGAAGAAGTTGGATTCCATGGGTTCCAAGAGACGAAGAGCTACCTCCCCTTCCAGCAGTGTCAGCGGGGACTTTGATGATGGGCATCATTCTGTGTCTACACCAGGCCCAAGCAGGAAAAGGAGGAGACTTTCTAATCTTCCAACTGTAGATCCCGTGAGTAACTTGGGTCACACAGTTTCTACCTAATTTCCTTACTCTTTCTTTTATGGTGAAATAGTTCAGATTCCTCTCTGCTTTTTTCCTCTGGCTTTTAACTTTTATGAAAAGTATTTGTTTAGCCACAAGTTCATTGGTAATTATATTATTTAGTATTATGAAACATTGAGTATCATTATGTCATTTAATAAAATGAATGCTTGCTATGTGATGGGTACTGTTCTGGTAATTGGGTTATAGCTTTTTTGTGTGAGGCAAGCCCATTTTTCATGTGGAGCTTAGTTAGCTTTCAATATAGGAGAAGCAGAATTTACATATTAACATTGTTCTGCAAGTGAACAAGTAATAATAAAATGCCCATAGTAGTGATAAATACTAAGAAGAAAAGTTTGGGTGGTTTGAGTTGTTTTGGCCTGAATCTTCTGGAAGATTCTCTATGATGAGCAGGTACCAACCCTGCAGAGTGGCAGGACCAGGGATAGGTTTGATATGTTGTGATTACAGAGAGATGGAAAGGAGTGCTAAGTGCAGTGGCACACACCTATAATTTCAGCTACTTTGGAGGCTGAGGCAGGAAGATTGCACGTTTGAGGCCATCCTGGGCAACTTGGTGAAACCCTATCTCAAAATAAACATTTTAAAAAGGGCTACACATGTACTTCAATGGTAGAGTGCTTGCCTAACATGCAACAAGTCCCTGGGTTCAATCCCTAGTAAATGAAGAAAGGAAGAGAAAAAATGAAAATGGTCAGGTAGGAGGAGACTGGTGAGCTTCACCCAACAATGGCATATAAGACCTTTGGGTTCTCATCTGATAATTTGGGGATATATCCTTCCTCTTTGTTTGCCTTTGTGGGTTTTTTTTTTTTTTTTTTTGAAGAGTAATTGATTTATTTTTTGGTAATTTGTTTCCTCTTTGTACATGTAGATTGCTGTTTGCCATGAACTCTACAACACCATCCGAGACTATAAGGATGATCAGGGTAGACTCCTCTGTGAGCTCTTCATTAGGGCACCAAAGCGAAGGTGAGTTGGAAGTACATCAGTACACTGGGAGGATTTGTTGGAGGGTCCATGTTTAAAGTTGTTTGGTAATTGAGTTTTCCTTTGGAAGGAATGGCTTAAAAGATATGGGAGTCCATTCTTAGTCCTAGTTGTCAGGATATAGTAAGGCTTTTCAATTTTGGTAAAAAACATAATATAAAATTTATAGTCTTTACTATTTTTAAGTACATACTAAGTGTCAAGTATATTAACATTATTCTGCAACAGCCTCCAGAAATTGTTTCATATTCCAAAACTGAAACTTTATACCGGTTAAACAATTTTCCATTTCTCCTACCTTTCAGCTCCTTGACAACCACCATTCTGCTTTCTGTTTGTGTGATTTTAACTACTTTAGATACTTCTTATGAGTAGAATCATACAGTGTTTATATTTTTATAATTAGCTTATTTCATTTAGCATAAGGCCTTCGAGACTATTCATCTACACTGTAGCATGTAATAGGTTTCCTTTCTTTTTAAGACCTACTAATAGTCCATTGTGTATGAATATCACATTTTGTTTATTCTTGTGTCAGTGGACTCTCGAGTTGCTACTTAGGTTCTTGCTAAGTAATTCAGGGCCTTGCTAAGTTGCTGAGACTGGTCTTGAACTTGTAATCCTCCTGCCTCAGCCTCCTAGTCGCTGGGATTATAGGCGTGCATCACCACTCCTGGCTGCTGCCTGCTCTCAACCAGCAGGCTAGTGCTATGGGTGTCTCTGTGGAATGCATGCTCTCTCGGACGTTAATGGGAGATTAATTAATTGTTTAAGTGTACATAATTTGTGACTCTCTTTTTGAGACAGTGTTGGTTAACGCATTAGGTTACTTGTACATTCAGTTTAACAAAGTTGAAACAGAAGGAATTTCTTGTGTACAAGTCCTCTCTGAAGTCTCAAGTACTATTTCTTTGTTCTGCTATTCTGGGGTATCTCCCTTTTCTGTGTGGTCTAATAAGAGTGTGGCATACTTTGGGGTTTTGTTGTTGTTGTTTGTTTGTTTTTAGTACTGGGATTGAATCCAGGGATGCTTTACCACTGAGTCATATCCCCATTCCTTTTTAGTTTTTGAGACAGGACCTTGCTGAGTTGCTGAGGCTGGCTTCACACTTGTAATCCTCCTGCCTCAGCCTCCCAGGTTGCTGGGATTTCAGGTGTGTACTACCAAATCTGGCAGACTTCAGTTCTTGTGTTTGTCAGAACCTAGCTGTAGTGAAGCTGAAGGCTATTGTCTTTAGTAGCCATACAGCAGCTAAGAATGCAGTATCATCCTAGAAGGGAAAATGGACTTGAGCAGGCTCTGCACATCAGGGCCAGTGTTTCTCAGTATTCTGGTTTAAACATTAATTGTAGTTGGAATGAATTCTGAGTTGGATTGGAATTGTTCCTATTGGTATGAATTCATGGTTTCCAAAGTATGTAAATAAGTGTGTGTGTTTTCCCTAGCTCCGTGTCATGAGACAACTTGGAAGCAGCAATACCCAGTAGCAATGAACAAGTTAGTACAACCTAGTCCTCAGATTTGTTTTTTAAATGCTGTGTATCATTGATAGGAATCAGAGTTCCTTGGGGAAAACAGTTGATTTCCAGGGGATGGGGCAGAGGAAGTGCAAAATGAACCTGGAACATTATATTGTGCCAGGAAATATGCAAGTGCTCATAGGGTGATGAGAACTTGTCAGAAGGACATAGAAAATAGAAGCCTAGGGCTGGGGATGTGGCTCAAGCGGTAGCGCGCTCGCCTGGCATGCGTGTGGCCCGGGTTCGATCCTCAGCACCACATACAAACAAAGATGTTGTGTCCGCCGAGAACTAAACTAAAATAAATAAATAAATTCTCTCTCCCTCTCTCTCCCTCTCCTCTCTCTTTAAAAAAAAAAAAAAAGAAAATAGAAGCCTAAGCCAGGTATGGTGGCGCACACCGTAATCTCAGTGACTTGGAAGGCTGAGACAAGATGATTGCAAGTTCAGAACAGCCTCATCAACTTAGTGAGACTTTGTCTCAAAATGAAAAATATAAAACTCTGGGGATGTAGCACTATAAAGTACCCCTGGTTTCATTCTCTTGTACCAAAAAAAAAAAAAAAAAAAAATAGAAGCTGTCTTACAGCCTCCTGTTAGCCAAACCTGGTGCAGTTTGAGCATCAAAATAATTATTATAAGGGCCTTTAACCCACTTTGTAAAAGAGGAATCCAAGAGTACATGTTAAAATAAATGAGTAAGTTGAAAGTATGAGGCTTCTGCGGTACTTCCCTAGTAAATATGAATCAAGAAAGAATAAATTGGTCAGTAGAAAAACCTTGCAGACACCATCATAATCAAATGCTCAAAGTTAATCTATCTGAGTAATGGGACAAGACAAAAATGATGTGCCACCTGATAGGATACAGTGAGAGGAATGCAGCATCATCTCTGTCATAGTCTTGCTCAAGTAGCATAGCATGAGTTTAATTATCAAGAAAGTAGAAAAATTCAAATGGAGGCACATGCTACAAAGAAACTGGCCTCTAATCTTCAAAAATACCAGGATCATAAAAATCAACAAAAGACTGAAGAGCTATTTCAAAATGAAGGAAACTAAAGAAATATAATTAAATGCAACCTATGATTCAGGACTTGATTATTTTGCTATGAAGGACAAGTTTGGAACAGCTGGCAAAATATGAATAGGGTCTGAGAAGTAGATGTATCAAAGTTTATTTTCTGATTTTGATGGTTGAATTATGGTCTTTGAAGGAAGTATGCAATAAAATATTAGGAATGATGCCAACATTGACTAAAAGGTTTAGAAAAAAAGTTCTTTCTGTTACTACAATTTTTATGTCAGATAAAAAAATATACTAATAAAGAAAGTACAAAACAACAAAATACACACACACACACACGTATACACATACTAAAGAATAGTTATGGGCTGGGGTTGTGACTCAGTTATGGAGTGCTTGCCTAGCACTTGTGAGGCACTGGGTTCATTCCTCAGCACCACATAAAAATAAAATAAAGAAATTTGTATCCACCTAAAACTAAAATAAATATTAAAAAAATAAATGAAATAAGTAGAAAAATGGTATTGTATCCATCTATAACTAAAAATATTTTTTCAAAAAGGATTATAACATRTTAAACAAGGTCCCATGAGAGATTAAAGCTTCCGTGATCATGAAATTCTTTGTATGTTACAGCTCTTCTCTTAACATTTCTAGAAGGGAGCTAAATACCCCTGTGGAAGAATTTTTTTAACCACCACTGGGGATTAAACCCAGGGCCTTATATATGCTAGACAAATGCTCTATCCCTGAGTTACATCCTAGCCCTATGGGAAAAATTGAGAAAACCAAATTATTTTTCAGAAAGTTTACTTGTTTTATGAAACACAGTATGGAAAAAATCTAGAAGTAATAATAAACATCCATGAATCTAAATCTGAGAAATTACCTTGGGATTTAACATCATAATTGCTTTTGAAATTCCTTTGTGTCCCTCAGTATCCCTGCCGTCCAGTATATACATAATCCTTTTTTTTTAAGAAAATTCTGGTCATGTTTAGATGGATCTTACTATCCTTTTATCCTTAAGCCAACTTTCTCCTTTGTAACTTAAGTGATTGATATTAAAGCAACATAGGTATCAGATACTTGTTAGTTATTGACAAGAAAAGATTTTGTGGTCACTAATCAGAGAAAAATAAGCCTTTTTTTAAGTGTAGAGAGTTTTGAAATGTGTCTTTTCCCAGCTACTTTGAAAGACCATGAAAGGTTATAAGAAAATACCATTTATATGGGTTTAGGGCTGGAACCCTAAACCTTAGATATTTCATTTATAATGAATATTGTATAAAAATTCATCATGGACATTACTGTAGGTTTTTATATTAATAATATATTTAAAAAGGAGCATACCTGCATCTTGCTTTTGTTATTCCCCTTTTGTTCTAATAATGGGAATGAGATTGATGTCAGATTCTAATTTGGTCTGTCACTTAGAATGTTGGAAGTTACTACAGATAGTTTTGAAATATATTTTTTGTATACTTTGGATTAATAGTATTAAAAAAATTTGAATTATAACAGAAATCAACCAGACTATTATGAAGTGGTTTCTCAACCCATTGACTTGATGAAAATCCAACAGAAACTAAAAATGGAAGAGTATGATGATGTTAATCTGCTGACTGCTGACTTCCAACTGCTTTTTAACAACGCAAAGGCCTATTATAAGGTAAGAAAGCATCAAATTTGGAAACTATTCAGTTTGGTAATTCCCTAGCTTTTTAATATTACCAGTCTGGTGTTGAGTAGTGCTTTCTCKTTATGGTTGAATTCATACTTCTTTTATTAGTAGAGACTGAACACTAGTGATTATGAGGCATTCTTGTTCCTTTTGAAAGGTATCTGCTCAAGTCTTTTGCCCATTTTTCTCTTGGGTTGTAGGGGATTGAACCCTATGCAATCTCCCATTGAGCTGCACACCCCCAGGTCCTAATTTTCATAGTATCTTCTGGTGAACAGAAGTTTTTTTATTTTAATGTAATTAAATTTATCAGTCTGTATTTTTGAATGAGATGTAATTTATACATTCTCTTTAAACCGTAGAATTCAAGAATTTTTAGTTATTCACAAACTCATATAGCCATACACTTAATTTCTTAGAAGAGGGATTGAGGCCCTCATGTTTTGTTTTCTTTTTTTTAAAGGAAGCTCATACAGTTTTTTTTTTTTTTTTTAGAGAGAGATAATTTTTTAATATTTATTTTTTAGTTTTTCAGCGGACACAATATCTTTGTTTACATGTGGTACTGAGGATAGAACCCGGCACACATGCCAGGCAAGAGCGCTACCGCTTGAGCCACATCCCCAGCCCCCTCATATTTTCTAATCATAAGAATTTTAAAATGTGTGATAGTAGAGTTTTCAAAGTTGTGCCTTAAAATACTAGCCTCTGCTGATACAAGATGTTTTAAAGGTAGCAATTGATTTATAGTAAAATACTAAAGTGATTTTGTTTTTTCCCTCTTTGCTAATGTACAGCCAGATTCTCCTGAATATAAAGCTGCTTGCAAACTCTGGGATTTGTATCTTCGAACAAGAAATGAGTTTGTTCAGAAAGGAGAAGCAGATGATGAAGATGATGATGAAGATGGACAAGACAATCAAGGCGCAGTGACTGAAGGAGTAAGTGTATAGCTAGAACCAGTCATGGATGGGCTGTGGGAAGGTGGATGGGGCACTTACCTGTGATTCCCTCTGGGCCATTGTGGGAAGCTGGACTGACTTCCTGTGCTGTTTTGTTGTATTAGTTAACTGGGTAAATGGACAGTTCTCTCAGGTGGAGAGCCCAGCTCCAATTTCAAATGATCTTGGACGTTCTGGACAGTGTGTTTCATGCATGGTTGTTTTTATGAATTGCTTTTATATCAATGCATGTTTTATGCACAGTTTTAAAGAGAATCTTGGTATTATTGAGGACTAATCCAACATTGCTGGACATAAGACATTATGTAGGGTAGTCATTGTTTTGATTATAAAAATCAATAGAATCACCTTAGGAATACTTTTATGGGTTAGACTGGTTACTGTTCGTACGACTTGCCAGGAGTGCTTCTGCTTCATGAATTCTGTAATTGTTCTGTGCTTCATTTGGTTTTCCCTGTGACTGGCTCTTTTTTATTATTCTAATGTTAGTTAAAAATAGTGTCAACCAAGAGAGAACTTTCCTGATCCCCCATCCAAATTGCTATACATTCTCTCTTTTCACCCTCACCTGCCCCAATGTCTCATTGTTATTACCTGTGTTCTTCCCTTTTTATTACTATATGTGAAATAACTTATTAGTTAATGTGTCTATTTTCTGTCTTCCCCTAAGTACAATGATAACTCATCAAAGGGTAGCACTTGTTTTTTTTTGGGGGGGGGGCGGGTACTAGGGATTAAATTCAGGGGCACTTGACAGGGTCTCACTGAGTTGCTCAGCACCTTGCTTTTACTGAGGCTGGGTTTGAACTTGCTGTTCCTACCTCAGCCTCCCAAGCCACTAGAATTACAGGTGTGTACCACCGTGCCCCACAGAGCGTAGCATCTTGTTCACCTATTCCTGGCATCAAAACTATGCCTGACATGTAGATACTGGTAAATATTTGCTTAATGAAAACATTCAAAAAGGGGGAAAAAATAGTGGGGGGATTAGAACTCTCTTCTGCAACTGTATTGTAAAAAGAAAAAATGCACAACACAGAGCATTCCACTTTCTTCTATAAGTCACCTAGATAGACCTTTTGTTGAAACTCCAGTACAGAAATAAGCAGTGGTGGCTGAAGTTCTCAAAACTACTACTTAGAGTCTCAAAATAAGTTGCCAGGTACCACATTAAGTTCTTTGAAAAAATTAAGTGATTGGAATTATATAGAAGACAGTTAATAATAGGGATTCCCTGGAATTTTACTTTCTGCAATGTGTATAGGGTAAGCAACTTAACCCAGGCTTTCTTGGGCTGAACATTTGATTTGATTTCTAAAGCCCAGCCTTACTTCATCCACAGCTCTAGTCAGAAAACAAAATTGCCTATATTTACTTATTTATTTTATTTGTATAATAGTTGAAAAATTGGAGGATCTTGCACATTTATATTTATGCTTTCCAAACTTTTTTAGCCTAAGGGTTTTATGAACAGGGAAGGAATCTTCAAGCTTCTAATTTTTCAATCAGTGATTTCCTTGGAGTTTTCCTGATTGTTGGAAAGATCATATGAATATATTCACATACCTCGTTTCATTTGTCATCAGCAATATCCAGAGTAGGAGGTTGTATGGGAGGAAAAGAGTCTCTTAACTTCAGAACAAAACATTTCTGTTAGAAGCAAACTCTGATACCATGGTTCAGCCACAACACAATGGCTTAAACACGGGAATTTCAGTTTACTTTCAGCAGGATCATGATGGTTCTCTGAGCTTATATACTTGGAAGTTTTGACCAAATCATACATCTTACATGTTAAATATTTTCCAGGTGTTTGTTATTGCCAGGCCTGAGTGACTTAGAGCCCTCTCTGTCAAATTGAGACCACACCAAATAAAAAAGGTTTCTGTTGGTTTTGGACAAAAATACCAAATGTTTTTATAATTTAAACCATAATAACCATTAATATTTCATCTGCACAAAATATGATTTGGATTTGTAGTACTATTTAATATAAACTAGACTGTAGAAACTTACTTCAAACTTGGACTTTACCTGGCCAATTACTCTTGGGGATGTATACTTGCCTGTGTTGAAACAGTAACTAAGCTAGGTATAAACCAATCTGTTTAAGAGCTGAAATGGTATATAGAATCAGTTTAGTTAATCTCCATTCACTTTTTTTTTTTTTTTTGGTGGGGGGTACCAGAGATTAAACCCCCTGGCTCTTAGCCACTAAGCCATATTGTCACTTTTTTTTTTTTTTTTTCCCTAATGTTTTATTTTGAGATAGGGTCTCACTAAGTTGCTAAGGGCCTTGCTAAGTTCCTGAGGCACTGAGATTTCAGGTGTGTGCCACTACACCCAGCCTCCATTCACTTTTTTTTTTTGGAGGGATGGGTATTGGGGATTGAACTTGGGGCCACTTAATCCCTGAGCTACGTCCCCAGCCCTATTTTGTATTTTATTTATAGTCAGGGTTTCACTGTGTTGCTTAGTGCCTTGCTGTTGCTGAGGCTGGCTATGCCAACGATCCTCCTGTCTTAGGCTCCCAAGCTGCTGAGATTACAGGCATGCACCATCATGCCTAGCTCCATTCATTTTTGATATAACTTGATTTCAATTGTTAGTCCTGGTGGAGAACCCAGTGGTTAATAGCACGTAATCATAATTTTATATAATATGTAGTCATTGTGCTACTGGAATACCATGACTCTAGTGGATGTGAACAGCAGATGTATAAATGACTAAGTATTGTGGGGCATATTTTCCCAAGTTCAGTTGCTCAGACCATAAAAAGATGCATTTTGATCAATTCATACCTATGGTACTTGAAATTTGCTTTCATTATGTTACTGTGGAGTCGGCATGACTGTAATCCTAGCTACTTGGGAGTCTGAGGCAGGAAGATTGCAAGTTTGAGGCCAGCCTTAGCAACTCAGACCTTCTCTTCTCATAGAAAAAGGACTGGAGGTGTAGCTCAATATTAGAGCACCATGTTCAATCCCCAATAATACAGACACACACACACACACAAAAAAAAAAAAAAAAAAAAGAAGAAGAAGAAGAAGAAAGTGTTACTGTGGAAGAGTCAGAAAGGAACTGATCCAAGAGATTTATTTTCAGAAATAATGTAGAAACCTCATTAGTTTCTTATAGGCCATTCTGGGGATACAATCGGAGCATTTCTGTGGTATTCTAGAAACTTGAACTTAAAAGTTGATCTTTTGAATTAATTTTGTAATCTTAGAAGCCAAGTTTAATATTTGGCGTGTATTTATTGATTCTGTTACAAAGAATTTTTCTCTCTCCCTACGTCTCCTAGTCTTCTCCAAGTTACCTTAAAGAGATCCTGGAGCAGCTTCTTGAAGCCATTGTTGTAGCCACAAATCCATCAGGACGGCTCATTAGTGAACTTTTTCAGAAACTGCCTTCTAAAGTGGTAAGTGATATGATTAAACACAGATGAATTAAGGTGATAAATTTTTTTAAGTATTTCAAGAATTTTATTATTAGTGAATACAGTAAGATTAAAAGGAACATGTTGGAAGTATCCAGGATATCCTCCTCGTGACTTCAGCAGCAAGCAGAGAACATGGTCTGTCATTTTACTTGAACACAATGTTGTTTTTTAAAAGGTAATGATTTTGTCAGTCTGTCTGTCACTGGGGGTGGAGGGCCAGATCTTGCTTTGTTTCCCAAGCTGGTCTCAAACTCAAGGGCTATTTTTGATTGCCATTCTTTTTTGTTATTATGATAAAATATATGTAACATAAAACTTACCATTTTAGCCATTTTTAAATGTACAGTTCTTTGGCATTAAGTTCATTTACATTGTTGTGTAATCATCACTACTGCCCGCCCATCTGCAGAACTTTTCATCTTCCAAAACTGAAACTTCCTACCCATTAAGTAACAAATCCACTTCCCTACTCTTTCAGACCCTGGCAACCACTATTCTACTTTCTGTCTTTATGATTTTACTATTGAGGGGATCTTATATAAGAGGAACCATACAGTGTTTGTCCCTCTGTTGACTGGCTTGTTTCACTTAACACAAAGTCTTCAGGGTTCATCCACGTTGTAGCATGTGTTAGGATTTCCTTCTTTTTTAAGGATGAGTAAATCCATTATAATGGTATACCACATCTTGTTCATGCATTCATCTGTGAATGGACACACGAGTTGCTTCCATGTTTTAGCTATTGTGAATCATGTTGCTATGAAGATGGGTGTACTAATAGCTCTTCAGGACCCTGCTTTCACTTTGGGGTATATACCCAAAGGAAAATTTTCTGTAGCATATGGTAATTTTTTACTTTTTTGAGGAATCACCATACTATTTTCTTGTCTTAAAATTTTAAATCATACAACGAATGTAATCATTATATCTTTCTAATCAAATCCACACCTAGAATAGCAGTGATCATATGTTTGCTTTCTGTCATAACTGTCCTACAGCCATTGAAAATGCATCTTTAAATAACCAATTTTATCAGTGACTGATGCATTCTCTCATCAGTCAGCAAGTACTTCTTGCATATCTATGACATGTTGGGTGTCTACATGGCAGTAACACAAAGGTAAATATGGCATGGTCCCTGTTCTCAAGAAAATCAGGTAGTGGAGGTGGATAAAAGAAGAAATGATTACAGTGGGGGTTAAGTCTATAGTGGAGTCCTTCTGAAAATATACTCTTACTTAGAAATATTAGAATTCTGGGACCATGAAAGTTTTTGTGGTTTCACAGGCAATGATATGAGTTACATCTGTAACCGTGTTAATTGTCTCTTGTATGTGAAACTATAAAGGGTTCTTTCTGATCCTTTAAAAGCTTTCACTTTCTAGAAAATCTTCTTTGTAGAGTGAGAAAGTATGTGAGGCAAAATATGTAATCAGCTCTCTAGGAAATCAAGGAGCACTAAGGGAGGAAGAACTTCCTCTCACCTTGCCTTCTGAGGAAAGAGAAAATTTCCTTTTTTACAAATAAAAAAAGTTTAGGTGTTTATTTTATCATTAAAGAATAATCTTGGAAACAACCCAAATGCTCATTAATAGACAAATGAATAAGCAAAGAAATTGTTTATACAAACAATAGAATATTATTCAACCTTAAAAAGGGAGGAGATTCTGAAACATCCTACAACATGGATGAATCTTGAACATAAGCCAATGAAATAAACCAATCACAAAAGGATAAATAATGTATGACTCCTCTTGTATTAGGTTCTTGGAATAGTGAAAGAGACAAAAAGTAGAATGGTGATTGCTATGAGGGTAGGGGAGGGGAGAAGCACAGTCCAACTTCCTCTGAACCTCTTGAAACTGCAGTTATTTCCTTCAAGGCACAAAACTTGCAGGAGAGCCTGAGGGTAGTGAATGATTCTAGGCATTGTGAAAGCTTCAGTGGTATCCCCCAACTTGTCCAACCCCTGGGGATGAACTAGTATTTGATAAAGTAGAAATTACTTATAATTTTGCTTCATTTCTTTCATATAATTTAAAAATATTTTATTTTGAAAAACCTTACTTTGATTAAAGCATTAATAAAAGCATTAAGTTAAACATGAAGCAACAAATTTTTATGATTTCTTATAGTTCCTTGTGAAGTTTATATGAAATATTATATAATTGTTATTTATATTGTAAAATTTAAAAAGCTTATAAAGAGACCCATTAAGAACTTTTTTCTGGCTGGGGATATAGCTCAGTTGGTAGAGTGCTTGCCTTGCATGCTCAAGGCCCTGGGTTCAATCCCCAGTACCACACATACACAAAAAATAACTTTTTTGATTGCTATCTGGGGACCTTAAATTTAGACATTTATGATTCTGTGAATTTAGAATTTTATGTTAAATTGTAGTATATTAGTTGTGTAGAATGTGTAACTATCAATACCAAGTGTAAACTCCTACATCTGTTGAATATTTCATTAAGCTTCCCAACCCCCACCCCCCCAGTACTGGGCATTGAACCTAGAGATGCTTTGCCACTAAGCTATATCCCAACCCTTTTTATTTATTCTGAGGCAGGGTCTCACTAAGATGCTGAGGCTGATCTTGAACTTGAGATCTTTCTTCCTCAGCCTCTTGTCTCTGGGATTACAGGTGTGTGCCACTGCACATGGCTCATGAAGCTTCTTAAAATAACATTGTATTTTGTTTCAGATATAAAATACTGTATGTCTTTATATCTGTGAATGTCACAAAGCTGCTCAGTTTCTTGGTTGACAACATATTGTCAGTATGATTCTTGTTTTTTCATTAGCTAGCTGCTTTCACTCATTGAGCAAACCTGGGTTTTTGTCTTCCAGCAATATCCAGACTATTATGCAATAATTAAGGAGCCTATAGATCTCAAGACCATTGCACAGAGGATACAGGTATGAAGGTGGCCATATGTAATCATATATGGTTTGGAGCAGATTGGCCTATGGACTTAGAGAATTTTAGAAAGCAGGGAAGTGGATATCTCTTTAAGGGTTATTAGTATTATCAAATAATATAAACAAAGTAGTACAACTTGCAGTTTTGGATTAAGGACAAAAATTAGGGCTAGGGGTATAACTCAGTGGTAGAGTGCTTGCATGTTTTGGGGAGGCTATGGGTTGAATCCCCAGCATCAAACAAAACAGAACAAAATTGCTTTAGGGTATCTTAAAATAAACAACAGAATTTCAAGTGAAAATAAATACTATGCTTTCTTTAACCTTCTTCACCTCTCTCCCATTTCCCCAGAAATGATAGATGTAGTTAATACCCATATGGACTTGCTATATACCTAGCCCAGTGCTAGGTATATTGGCTAAGTCATTCTTACAATGACTATATGATGTAGATCCTGTTATTCCCATTTTAAATATTATAACACTAAAGTATGGAGACTTTAGCCAAATATGTACTAAATAAGTATTAACTAATTGTGAATGTATGATTAGGATTTGTGGTTTGATGATTATATGTTAAAGTAGGTGAATGCAGAAAGATATATATTCTTCCAGAAATCTAGTTTCTAGAGTGGAACTTGCTTCTTTTCCTAGCTCTTCATCTTAACTAGTTGTATCACTTGGGTCATGTGACTGTCTGCTTCCTCTGCTGTATATTGGATATACTATAACCACTTGGCTGTGATGATATATGTAATGTAGATGAGCCCATAATCACTAGGAATCACTCATCTTCTCAGGGTAAGAAAATTACGCTACTCCTGGGAGATAAAGCAAAAAGGAGAACAATGTGTTACTTAGTCTCATTGAATAATGAGACTGTGGCACAGTGATTTGCTAAGAGAGAGAAATTTCCTTGGCTCTAAATTTTAAGACAGCAACAAATTAAAGAGTAACAATGTAGTAATTATAGATTCCATATATACATTTTCACAGAATGTTAAAATTCGGACTCTAATTATCATCTGGTTTTGAGGCAGCCCAGTAAGTGCACCGAATGCTCACTTTCTGATTCCCTTGGTCTTCATCTATCTAGGGGGAATGATGTTTTCATAATACTGAAAATCAAATCAGATTTTAAACACCTCTAAGTCAGCCCCAGTCTTCTCTCTTTGCCTTTTTGCCTCATCTTGTTCTTTCTTCTGAAGTTCCCAAAATAAGATTCTTTTGCCATCATCCTGATCAAGATCCTTGTCATCTTATTTCCAAATTATTGGAATAATCTTTCCTACCTCTCTGATCGAAAAGCTCTCTAGTCACTTTCTTTATCTTGCTTCCTAACCCTGGCTTTCTTCCCACTATTCCACTGCTCAGAAACTTAATTTCACTTGTCACAACAACTTGTACCAGTTCCATAATAATCAACTCTGGCTACCATAAGCAGAAAAGGAATTTATGAAAAAGGGTCGATTATGAAATTGTTGGAATGAAACACTGGGGAACTACTTTTTGGAAAATAAATAGAACTCAGGGATGTCATGGTACTGCCAAGATTACACACAACCTCCTTGTAGTACAATTGTTATTACTACTGTCATTTGCCACTGTCGGCCCTGCTTAGATTCTCGGCTCTGCAGGAGTCAGTAAGAATTCCTGCCATTCCCTGGCCATTGCTTTAGTCACTGAAGACCCAGGCACAAATTAGCTTGTCCGTGATTATTTCTCTTTGCCTTGCTGATAGGTTGTGGGTAAAGCAAACTTTTGCCCACTTTCACCCTCATGGTGGGAAGTAGGGCCCTCCCTGTCACCTGTTCTAGGATTCCTTCCAAATAAGACAGGCATTCAAAAGTGTTAGTTCCACATAACAGATAACCATCCAATCTCCATTGCCTGCTTTTTTTGGATTCTGCCTCATTTTGCCTTTGCCTGTCCATACACTTTTGTGCTACAGTTGTACCCTTCCCCACCCTCCCCACTTAAATTGGTTTCTTTGAGTTTCTCTAGAACTTCTTCTTCCAGTGTACTTATATCATTAAGTACATGTATACACATTATATGTGTGTCTTTTACCTAGCATGCATTCCTCCCTCCTTTCCTTTGTAAATTGAGGCAACTATGTGAGTATTTCTAGGTTATTTTGGAACAAGTGAGCTTTAAGATGTGACAGCTCTGGCACAAAAATAGTACATAGAAAATGTTAACCTCTATGCTGGACTGATTTTATAATTTACCTCAGGTGGTCCTAATAACTCAAGGGAGTTTTCCTTCACACTGTTAAGGCCACTTTAGTGAATTAGTATTCATGAAGCACCCAGAACAGAGCTTGGATCATTGTAAGCATGTGTTGGCTAACTAAAACATTTATCTTACTTATTTTTTTTTAATTAAGTTTTTTAATGAAAATAATGTAGTTCTAGTTTTGTTATCTATTATAAAAACTTATTTGTAAATGGGTAGTAGGAATAATTTATGAAAGAAAATTAAATATTGTTCACATATATACTTTCCAATAAAGTCTTAGACTTATGGTGACAATTTTAAAATATGTGGAGTTCTTTTTTAATTAAAGGTTTTACTGATATTTTTTAACATTTATTAAGAGGAACTGCTATGTTTTGTTGTTTACTGTAGAATGGAAGCTACAAAAGTATTCATGCAATGGCCAAAGATATAGATCTCCTAGCAAAAAATGCCAAAACTTATAATGAACCTGGTTCTCAAGTATTCAAGGTTAGTTTTTTGTTATTGTTATTTTCTTTGATAATAGTAAATACTTTAATTTAGGTTCAATAATTTTTATAACAATTTTATTGAAGTATGTCACATGCCATAAATTTTGCCCATTTGTTTACTTATTTACTTTGGTATTAGGGATTGAACCCAGAGGTGCTTAACCATTGAGCCACATCCCCAGCCCTTTTTAATTTTTGAGATAGAGTCTCACTGAGTTGCTGTGGTTGGCTTTGAACTTGAGATCCTCTTGCCTCAGCCTCCTGAGCCACTGGGATTGCAGGCATACGCCACTTTACCTGGCTCAAATTTCACCCATTTAAATTAAAAGACCCAATTTGATGGATTTTAGTATATTCACAGAGTTAGCAGTCACTCTTTTCCCCCCCACCATCCCCAGCCCTAGGGAACCACCATCTTTTTGTCTTTGTACATTTGCCTATTCCAGATATTTAATATAAATGGAATCATACAATATGTGGTATGAATTCTTTTGTGACTGAATTCCTTCATTTAGGATAAGGTTTTCAAGGTTCATCAATGTTATAGTATGTAATCAGTACTTCATTCTATTGCTGAATAATATTCTATCTTATGGATAAACCCTGTTTTATTTAACCATTCATCAGTTGCTAGATACTTGAGCTGTTTCCATTTTTTTTATTGATTTTGAATAATACTGCTGTGACATTCAATATAAGTTTTTAGGTGGGCATATATTTTCATCTTATGTACATACTAAAGAATGAGATTAATCATATGGTAACTATATACTTAACTTTCTAAAGAACCAGCAAACTCTTTTCCAAAGTAGATGTACCATTTTACATTCTCATTAGTGATGTACAAGTGTTGAAATTTTCTACATTCTTAACAACACTTGTTTTGCATTTTCATCCTAATGGGTGTAAAGTAGTATGTTATTATGGTTTCGATTTGCCTTTCTGTAATGAATAATAATTCATTTTTACATGTGTGTATTGGCCCTTTGTATGTCTTTGGAGAAATGTCTATCCATATCCTTTGCCCTTTTTTTAATTGGGTTACTTCTCTATTTTTGAGTTGTAGGCGTTCTTTATATATTCTGGATATCATGCCCTTAAGAGATATATGATTTTTTAATATTTTCTCTCATTCTCTTGTCTTTTCACTTTTGTGATAGTGTCCTTTAATGCACAAAAGTTTTTAATTTTGATGAAGTCCAGTTATGTATTTTTTTCTTTGATTGCTTTTGTTTTAGGTTATCACTGCCCAGTCCAAGTTCATAAAGATTTACACCTATATTTTCTTCTAGGAATTTTATAGTTTTAGCTCTTACATTTAGATCTTTGGTCCACTTTGAATTGATTTTTGTAATTAATAGGTAATAGTTCAGATTCATTCTTTTATATGGGGTATTATCCTGGTACCACATATTGAAAAGATTTCGTTCCCCATTGATCATTTTGGAACCCTTGTTGAAAATCATTTAACCAAGATGTAGGAGTTTAGTTCTGTATTCTTGGCTCTGTTCAGTTCATTTAATTGTTTGTTCTTATGCCAAAGTAAGGTTTTTTAATCCTTTTTTTTCAGCTAAATATTGATTTATTCCCTGCATTTAAATTTCATAAATAATAAAAAGCAACATTGATAGTGTAAATACAATGTAAAATAGCTTTTCCGTTGCTCTGTAATTCCATCTTAGAAATTTTGTAGTCCTGCTTGTAGAAATTCCTTGAATTAATCACATATCATTGGGAATTTAGGAAAATCTTTTAGTAGTGAACCCTGACCCAGATCCTATTGCTATTGCCAGTTAATGTTAACTCTATCTTTCATCTTTTGAGAAAGTTTGAGTGAAAATCGGAAATGAATTCTGAAGTCCTGTGTTCTTAGTCCTTGGATAAGACATTTTGGTAGTATATTACTGATTGTTAGTTGATACAGTTAAAATTTTTACTTTTCAATCTAATTATTTTTCTAAACCTTTTCAAGAGAAAGAAAACCTTGGATTTGACTTTTAGGTTGTATACAACTAGGATTTGTTGTATTTTACCATCAGATCTTTGCATATTACTTCACTAACTGTGAAAGAACTAGAAGCTTTTTGCATTTAATTAGTGACAACTTCATGAAGATATTTGAGAAGCTTACAGAAAAGTTAGAGGATGCAGCTTTGTGAATGTTGACTAGATGTCAGCTTCAAATGGAAAGAGTACCGTGAAAGGTGCCCAGTGTGTGAACAAGGGAATTTTTTTTCTATTCCTTTTTTAAGCTGAGTAACTTTATTTTGACAGGATGCAAATTCAATTAAAAAAATATTTTATATGAAAAAGGCAGAAATTGAACATCATGAAATGGCTAAGTCAAGTCTTCGAATGAGGTAGGTTAAGAAATTAAGATCTTTATTAATTTTCTTCCTTTTTTTTTTTTGGTGTGGTACTAGGGATTGAACCTAGGGTGGCTTTACCACTGAGCCACATTCCCAGCCTTTTTTTTTTTTTTTTTTTGAGACAGGGTCTCACTGAGTTGCTGAGGCTGACCTCAAACTTGCAATCTTCCTGCGTCAGCCTCCCAAATTATTGGGATTTGTGTGCCACCACATACTACTCAAAAAATTTCCAAGATCTTTGTGTTTTTGTGTTTGCTGAATTTTCTAATAAAATCAGTACAGTAGAAAACAAGATTTATGTTACATTTCAAGATTATATTTAGTTAATAATGTGATTCTGAAAAGAGTAGAGTAGCTTATCTAGCCTCTTCATTGTAGCTGAAGGGGGGCTTTATTTAATAAGAAACACTTAAGGTAACACCACTATATCCTCCTCAATATGTATTTATAAATACATATTCATGTAATACAATATTATGGTACTTGGATATAATGTGCAGTAGCATATATTTGCAATATATGAAGATCTGAAGTACCATTCTAGTTGGTTTTTCTTTTCCTAGAACTTTAAGTTTGAACAAGTCTTAATTCTGGAATTCTGCTTCCTCTTACCTGAAATGAAAAGGTTGGGTGATTATTTTCAAAGCTCTCTCCTTGTTCTCACATGTATTTTGTTATCATTTCCTCTGGCTCTACAATGACCATAATCTCTCAAGGACCGGCTGTGGTCTGCTGTCCTCTGCAGAGTCCCATGGTCCTGGAGAAGAGCCTGCTGCATAGTAGAGGCTCAGAAAAATTCAACATTTCTATTAGGAAAAAAATAGAAAATGTCTTTTTTTTTTTTTTAATCCAGAATTCTGATTAGCTATCAAGTTTCTGAGGTTTTTTTTATCTTTGACTAGGACTCCATCAAATTTGTCAGCGACCAGGCTGACAGGCCCTTCGCACAGTAAAGGCAGCCTTGGTGAAGAGAGAAATACCACTAGCAAGTATTATCGGTAAGAAAAAGAGGGTTTAGTCTGAGAGTTGACCCATACTTATGACAGTAGGCATATTAATATTTGTCTGATGGCTATTTTGAAATAATATTTTGGGATGATTTTTTTTTTTTTGAGACATGGTCTCACTAAGTTGCTGAGGTTGACCTTGAACTTGCAGTCCTCCTGCCTCAGCCTCCCAAGTTGCTGGAATTAATAGGCATGTGCCACTGATCCCAGCGTACTTCTGGATTATGAGAGTTATTTATCAAGTGCTTTATTTAAAAGGTTGAGATACTTGTAGTAGGTTTTACCTCACATCTCAAATAATGATTAAGGATTCTTTAACCAGTTAGTGTTCAGTATTAGTTATAAATAAAATGTGAGATTTAAATACTTATTTGCAATAAATAAGTTTTGTGTTTAGAATAGAATTTTTTGTCATTTAAAAGTATGAGCATCTTAGAAGAGAATAACCGGTGATGGTGACTGAGTCTTTACTTTCTATAAAATAAGGAGTACTGCTGCATTTAAGTAAAAAGCGGATTACAAGTTGCCCCACTCCAGGCTTTCTCCTACCACTGCCACTTTCTTAGAGGAAAAATTAGTTTTTCTTGGATAACATTGATGAGGAATATTAAGTAGTAAAAAGATAAAGAGGCAGTTAATAGAAATTATTTTTCTGGGGCTGGGGCTGTGGCTCAGTGGTACAGTGCTTGCCTAGCACGTGTGAGGCACTGAGTTCAATTCTCATTACCGCATATAAATAAATAAAATAAAGGTCCACCAACAACTAAAAAAAAAAAATTTAAAGCAAAAGAAATTATTTTTCTTTGTTATTAAGTACTTTGTTAACAGCTCCTAATGTCTTCCAATATCTTGTTTTTCTTTGTAGTAATAAAAGAGCAGTCCAAGGGGGCCGTTTGTCAGCAATTACCATGGCACTTCAGTACGGCTCAGAAAGTGAAGAGGATGCTGCATTAGCTGGTAGGCATTAGGTTTGGGCTAAATTAAATGCCTTCTAAAGTGGATCCTTTTGGTTGGTCTGGCCTGAAGTTTGTTGGTTTTTGGAGAATGTGCTATTTGGTTCCATTTGATTGCACCCCTTAGTTGGCAGCTGATTTATCAAAAGCTTATTGCTTGATATTGGTTAAAATTCATATCTGGGTAAATATAAAAACATGAAAGAGATAAAATGATGTAGAACGGATAATAGCCAACAGGTAGCCATATTAACATCAGATAAGAACTTTCGGAGATAAGTGAAAAGATTAAAAAAAGATTCAGCCTACAATAGTAAAAGATTTGTTTCATTGGGAAGATGAATTACAAAGGAGCTCCAAATATGTAAATCAAGAAGATGGAACTTTATGGAGAATTTGAAAACAATACCCATCCAACAGAATTCCTCTTCTCTCGTTTGCTAGATAAGTAGAAAAATTGAATCTACTTCCTCATAAGTATGATGCTATTGAAATGAGTTACCGCAAGCTTAGTGGTGTAAAATAAATTTTTTCTTGCAATTCTGGAGATCAGAAGTCTAAAATCTAGGGGTCAGCAAGCCAGTTTTCCAGATATTTTAGGGGAGAATGTATTTTCTTGCTTTTTCTGCTTCTGAAGACTATCTGTACTTGGCTTGTGGCCCCTTTTCTCTATCTTCAAACTGCATCTTTCCAACTTCTACATCTGTTGTCCCTTCTTCTTGCTGCTTTGACCTTGTTGCTTCCCTCTTGTTAGGATCCTCTTGATTACATTTAAGGGCACACCCACATAATTCACAGATTAATTCAGGTTAATCTTCTCATGTCAAGATTATTAATTATTATTATTATTAACCTGTTGGCATATAAGGTAACATTTAGAGGTTCTATTGACTAAGACATGAGTATATATTGGTAGTTATTATTCAGCTTATCATACGTATTCTACATTTAAAGAACATATATTCTTCCTAGGTTCATATTTATAAAAACTGACCATCTACTCAAAACAAATTTCAATAAAGATTAGGTGTTATATAGCCCCCATTTCTGATAAGTGCAGCTAAGACATCAACTAACAATGAATAGAATTTAAAAGTCTAAACATCAGAAATTTTAAAATAAACACATAGGCTAAAAGAAGAATTATCTCAGAAATTTAAAATACTTAAAACTGAACAATTGCAACAATGAAATAATGCATCAGAACTAATTGGGTGTAGCTGAAGTGATAATTCAGAAGGAATCTCGTAAGTCTGAATGCTTCTCTTTAGAAAAGCACCTGAAGGAATGAGCTAGGCATCCAACATTAGTAAATAATAAGATAATTTTTGAAGTTAGAAAAAATGAGTTATAAAGCTAATAGCAGAAATTTAATTCATTAAAAAAGAAACCTATAATGGAAAAAATTAATGGGGTGAAAAGTTATTTTGTTAAGACTATTAATAAAATAAGTTTATGTTGGAATTATCAAGAGAAAAACATAAGAGGTAAGTAAATAATATTAGGGAGGAGAAAGACATATAGAGATTAAATGAAAATGTATTTACAGCATATACATTTAAAAATTTAAATGAAAAAATTCCTAGAAAATGTTAAATGTGTAAAACTGATTCAAAAATTAAGCCAGGCTTGGTGGCACATGCCTGTGTTCCACACTGCTCCTGAGGCTGAGGCCCAAGGATCACAGATTTAAAGCCAGCCTCAGCAACTTAGTGAGGCTGTAAACAACCTAGGGACACCCTATCTCAAAGTGAAAAATAAAAAGGACTGGGGATGTGGCTCAGTGGTTTGGTGCCCTCTGGGTTCAATCCCTGGTACCAAAAAAAAAAAAAAAAAAAAAAAATTAAAGGCTGAGATTATTCATAGAACCAGTAAAGAATTAAATTATCAGTTAAAAATCTTCCCACAGGCTAGAGTATATATATGTCCCTGGTTCATCCTCAGCCCTGAACAAAACAAGCAAAAAAAAAAAAAAAAAATAAGCAAAAACAAATAAAAACACCTTCCCACATAGAAAACATCAAGCCAAACATTTAAGAAAGAAGATTTATAATTTTTACCTCAGTGCTGGAGATTGAACCCAGGGCCTCACACTCTACCACTGCATTTCACTCTCTTAGACAACAGAATTTTATTAAAACATCTGCACAGTAGATGAAATGAGCTTCCAGTTTATTCTGTGAATCTAATATAACCTAGATATCAAAACCAATTAGAAGCATACTGTATCTGTCAGTGTATATAATACATGATGACACAATTGGATTTATTCCAGTAATACTAGGTTTGTTCAACATTAGAAAAGATAAAGTACCATTTACTGCATTAACATTAAATAAAACCATACAATTGGCTCATCACATATATTTGATAAATACTACAATTCTCATTCATGATGAAAATTCTTAGCAAACTAAGGAGACTTTTCCTAAGCTGATAAAAGGCATTTCTCTTTTTAAGGGAGAAATGTTAGAAATAGGGTAAGAATTCTGTTACATTTTTTAGTGAAAAAGTACTACACAACCTACAGTTACAACAGTTAATGTATGAGGATCAGAAAAGAAGAAAGATACATACATATTGTAGTTGACAGATTTTTTTTCTACTCAAACTCTTCAAATAAATTACTAAAATGAATAAAAAATAATAAGTTGCAGATATAAGATCATTACACAAAAATCCTTCTCTGGAATAAGGCACAAAAAGAAAATTAGGTATATATCCAACAAAAGATGTGTAAACTCTTTATAGGAAATATCAGAGATGATGACTAGTTTCAAATCCTTGTCTGCTTCTAGCTAGCTCTATGACTGTATTAAAATCTCATCTGACAGCTTTATAGGATGAATGACATTGTATAAGTTGTTAATCTCTTTTGCCCAGTTTTCTCATTTGAAAAAATAACAATATCTGTTTCATGTGGTGGTATTAGGACTGCCTAAGGCTTGTGCTTATCAAGTTTTTAGCCCAACTTAAGTACTTAATAAATGATTGTTCGTCTTACCTGGGAGGAGTACATAGCAATTATGGTTATTGTGATCCAGCCAAAACAATTTAAACTGTGATCTTTATGCACTATTTAAGAAATCAGGGAACTGAGCAAAATCTGAAGATGATTCTGTGTTTTACTTTTTGTGGTGTTTTTATGATTTAGCATCTATTTAAAAATTCCCTCTATAAGGAATACATCATTCATCAGGGATGGTATAAATCAATAGGGCAAAGTCACAGAGACTTAAGGTTAAATCATGTCTGACATTATCGGCCTAATGTAAATTTATACTATTCTAAATGTGTTAGCAGTTTTCTATTATTGTAACAAATATCTGAGATAATCAACTTATGAAAGTACTTTATTTTGGCTCACAGTTCTGGATGTTCTAGCATATGATCAGACCTGTGGTGAGGCAGCACTTCACTAGGCTCCACCTGTTAAAAGTTTCCACTACCTCTCAATAGCACCACTCTAGGGGATAAGCCTTTAACACGTAGGGCTTTGAGGGACATTTCAAATCCAAACTGTAGCCCTGAACTTCATGGTGTTATTTTAGTTCTGAAGACTCTGAAAGATTTCTTCCTTCTTTTGGCCATACATGCTAAGGAGTCTCTGAGGAGAGCCCAGAAAGAAAAACTATTTTGCAACCTTTTATAACCAGTATAACTTTTACTATTTAGCATTTTATTTCTGTGAAATGTTTCTCTAAACATATAGTTCTATGAAACATTTCTCTAAGCATGCATCCTTAGCATCATCTTTAATGGAGATTATAGACTATTTTTAAAAATTTTCAAATATATGTAGGTCTGTCTGTTGAAGGAGCTATAAAATATGATTATTTCATGCTTCATTACTTTCTTCCCCTGTGAATACTTGTTTTTTGTCTTTCTAGCTGCACGTTATGAAGAAGGAGAGTCAGAAGCAGAGAGCATCACTTCCTTTATGGATGTTTCAAATCCCTTTTATCAGCTGTATGACACAGTTAGGAGCTGTCGGAATAACCAAGGGCAGCTAATAGCTGAACCTTTTTTCCATTTGCCTTCAAAGAAGAAATATCCTGATTATTACCAGCAAATTAAAATGCCCATATCACTACAACAGATTAGGTAAGATCTTTTCTGTATTACTCTGTGTAAATCTGTTTTCTTATGGTCTAGCCTGCATATATATTATTGTTTCCTAAAATGGATAAGGATTTTAAAAGTAAACTTTTTACCTAACCATTTGTTTGTCTTTTGATTAAGAATAAAGTACAAAAACTTTCCTGCTTACACCTTTCATTGATACTTTAATTATGGTAGTTAAACCATATTTAAATTTTATATTGATAGTTGAATCATCAGAATAAGCATAGTCAATTCTTGGAAAACTTATTAGCTGAAACCGTACTTGAAAGATGGTTCCATCTTGGATTCCCTTTCCTGTTTAGAAAATGTTTTGTTCTGCCTTTTTTTTTTTTTTTTTCTTTGAGATGGGATCTTACTCTGTTACCCAGGCAGATCTTGAACTCATGCATACAGTTAGAAAATGATCATTTGGCAATTTAGCCAGACAGAATACTTAAACCACTATAGTATCATTAACAATGGTAAGAAATCATAACAACAGTTTAAAAAAAAATCCCAATTTAAAAATAGGCAGAGGGCCAGGCTCAGTGGCACATGCCTGTAATCCCAGCTTGAGATGCCGAGGCAGGAGGATCGTAAGTTCAAAGCCAGCCTTAGCAACTTAGTGTGAGGCCTTGAGCAATTTAATGAGACCCTGTCTCAAGATAAAAAATAAAAAGGCTTGGGGATGTGGCTCGGTGGTTAAGGGGCCTTGGGTTGAATCCCTGGTTCACAAAAAGAGAGAGAGAACAGAGGGCTTCCATAGGAGGTTTAGACATTGCTACTGCTGTTGCCACTGTCTCTGTAGTGATCCCTGAGAAGTTGCGGCACATTTTGTAGGTACTCGGCACCAACATGAATGGGCAATGGAAAATAGCCTTCTTCCAAGTTGGAATTTTCTGATGTAAACTTTGCTTTGTTAAGTCACTATTTCAGCACACACATCCCCCCCCGCCCCAACGCCGCCCGCCATGTCAGTTTTGTGGACACCCCAGTAGGAGTGGGTGAGAAATAGGGAAGTGATTTAGGCCTAGATGGTAGTACACTAACATTTTGAAGGGTCAATATGTAGGATGTCTAAGCCCTTCTTGGGTCACAGAACCCATGGTGCCTACTAAGAAACTTGCTGTGCCTGGACTCCCTTCTATGTATGCTATATAGAGCAGCAGTGAAGTGTAGGGCAGTGCTATCCAATAGAACTTTCTGCAAAAATGGAAATGTTTTATTGCCTATGTTATCCAATATGATAGTCACTAGTCATGTGTGGCTGTTGAGCATTTGAAATGAGGCTAGTGCCACTGAGGAAGTTGATTTTAAATTGTATTTAAATTTAATCTCGGGCTGGGGATGTGGCTCAAGAGGTAGCGCGCTCGCCTGGCATGCGTGCGGCCGGGGTTCGATCCTCAGCACCACATACAAACAAAGATGTTGTGTCCGCCGATAACT